CGGGGGGAGGCGGTGGAGGGGCAGCGGGCGACACTGCTGACTCACCGAGAGGATGCGGTCTCCCCTCCGCAGCTCCCCGCTGAGGTCAGCAGGGCCTCCGGCCAGGATGAAGGACACGAAGATCCCCTCACCATCTTCCCCTCCAACGATGTTGAAGCCCAGGCCGGTGGAGCCTTTGTGCAGGATGATTTTCCGGGGCTCCCTGGAAGGACAGACATGGGACAGGGAGACATCAGGGTGGGGAAGAGCAAAGCTGGTGACAGGGGTTGGCCGTACCTGGCACACCGGTGGGGCTGGAGTCACCTTGAGTGTCACCTGGTGTGACTCAGCCATCAGCACCGAGGAGGCTGATAAATTGAGAAAGGTGCAGTTGCACAAGTGACACGAGACAGAGCACGGATGGAGACAGAGCATCCACTGTGAAATCATGCACAGAAACATAGGACTGCGAGATGGCATCGGATGCCACAAGTCTGGGCACTGAGAACGGCATGGCCATGCCAGGAGAGGGGGATCAAGCCCCTCCGCACCTGTGCAACACGGCAAGCATGCCTGCAACCCCACACACCCCCACGCCACAGGCCCTGCACGCCTCAACAAAAGTCCTAAATTTTTCAATGATGACTTAATTCTTTCGCAGTTCAAACAATAGGCAGGCAAAGGCAGAAAGACTGCCTGGCATCGCAAAAATCCTGCATCAATTTTCATCTGGGAAAAAAACCCAAGTCTGATGGGAGCAACAGCAGCTCCCAGCTCAAGCGCTGGATAAAAATAAGAAGGAATAAATGACACCAGACAATTAGCACAGGCTGGTGGTGACTGTCAGCCAGCACGACACTGGGGCCCGTCAGCGCATCCGCTGCAGTGACCGGCTGGATCCCGGGTGCTCCGGGGGGTACTGCAAGGACCAAGGACCTGCCAGTGAGCTCAGCAGCCTGATCAACCCCGCACCTGCCAGGGAGCAGAGGGAGATCTCTGGGACACGGTAGAAGAGATGCTGGAGCCCCAGGCATGCCACTGGCCAAGGGCATCCATGGTGGACCCTAAAATGCCGGCAGACTTGTTCTAAGGGGACCCTGGGCCACCAGGGGGGCTGGCCCAGCTGCCCCCCTGGCTGCTGGCAACAGCCAGAGGAGGAATGGGGCTCAGGCAATGTGAGTGGAGTGGGGACTCAGGGGAATAAAGTTTGGCTGAGCAGACAGGGTGAAGCCCTGCAGCCTGGCAGCATGCTCCCAGGCCACTCTTGCAAGAAAACATCTTTGTCAGCCCCTGGGCCAGGCTGGAGCATCACTGCCATCACCTGGGTGGATGGGGGAAGGTTTTGGTGCTTTTGCAGATGCAGGCGTCAGGATTTACCTGCAGGAACACATGCCAGCACCCCAGGAAAAGTCTCCCACCATCCTTCCCCGTGGGGGAGTCCTGATGGGCTGAATGTCACTTATCTCCAAGCAATCACCTTATAAGGAGCAACAGGAGCAGAAGATGGACAGATAGAACGGCAGGACGCCTTGCAAGAAGGTCTTGGTGGGCTCCTGCCCTACCCAGACCCTGGGCTCAGCACAGCCTGACCCTCCCAGCTCTCCCAGCTGCTCCTCTCCGCAGCCCCACACCTCCCACCAGGCACAGCAGCATCCTGGTCCCCTACCTCTGATCACACTTGCTCCTGTGGCCTCGTTGCTGCCTGGTAGGGGAGAGGGACGGCTGTCCCCTGTACGACATGGACGACGAGACATTGACGGTGAACATTGCAGCGTGGCAGGCTCTGCTGGCAGCGCCGGCCGGGAGGCGTGAGGGGCAGGAATGTTCTGAATGCTCGGCACCACGGCCGCCCCGTGCTGCCTCTCTCTGCCTCTTGCCTGGTAGGCTTCCCCAGCCTTCGCTCTGCTAGACCCTACAGGCTTAACTCCTTCCTGCCCCTGCAGGCATGGACAGCATGGCCCTGACTGGCGGGAGCACCCAAGCGAGGACAAATTCGCAGCTCAGTTCCCCATGCCTGCAGCTCCACACACACCATGCGTTGCCACAGCCCCTCGCCTTCAAATGCAGAAGTACGGCAGAGTCGTAACTCCAGCTACGCATTTCTGATGGGGCAGAGGCTGAATCTACGTTATGACCTTCAGAAAATACCTGCTTAATCCTTATGGCTTTTGGATGCATTCAAGCTCTGAGCTAAGTGGGGCTCAGGACTCAGCTGGACCGTAGCAATGGGCTGGGATGCACCAGGACCAGGAGAAGACCAGGAAAACACCATGGAAATGCCATTGGGGTCAAAAGAGGCTCAACCCCAAGTCCTCAGGATGCCACCAGTGCTTGGCTCGGGGGTGGCTGTGAGGGGGCAGGAAGGGCTGGAGCCATCAGTCCCACTGCAGCAAAGCTGTGCCTGGGGCTAGTGCTCTCCCACAGGAAGAAATAGGTCAGATTTCTGGGTCTGCAAACCTTGTCTCCAACCAGCTGATGAATTTGCTCTGCCCCTTGGGTTTTGCAGCTGCCCAAGCAGAGTGCAGGAACCACCACCCCAACTCAGCCTGGGGGAAAGCATCCCCAGCGCCCATGAGGACCAGACGATTTGGTGGAAGGTAGAGAGACACTACAGGAATCAAGGAGAGGAAATGAAGCTCCAGGCAGGTACATCTCAGGTCTCAGTCATGACACGCACTCTCCGCTTCCATCTTCATCCCAGGAGGCAGGACATGGATCCTGCAGGACCATTCCACACTGGACACGGCAGCATTAACACCGGGACCTTGGCACAGAGTGACTGCAGGGATCCTGTGGGGCTACGCTGGGTCTGGGTTGCAGTGGTGGAGCTCGTTGGAAAACAGATGCTCTGGTCCCCGGCCCTGAGTGCTGTAGGACACAAGGGTCGCTGGAGCCACGTCCACGTCTGCAGCCGCGCTTGTGCCCATGGGAGGGGAAGAGGCTTGATACTGGATCCAGGCCAGAACCTCTGCTTCTCCTGGGGAATGGCTGGCAGGAGCCTCCTGGGAGATAGCTGCTTTTTTCAGGGGATTCACTGCCTTTCCCCACACTAGTAAGATGCATTTGGACCACACTGGTCCCAGTGTACAATCTTGGTGATGCATGAGCCAACAGACCCATGGTGATGAAGCTGTCCTGGGGCCGGGGGTCGGTGATGCACATGAGGTTTGCAGCACAGTCCTGGGATGGATGAAGGAGGTGCTGAGCCCACTGCAGTCTGCGAATCTGGCAGGGGGCAGGGGGCTGTGGCTGGGGACAGTGGCTGAATGGTGCCAGCCTGTCTGGAGCAGGGCACTCTGCAAGGCAGCACCATCCTTTAGCGGCCACCAGCACAAGCTGCACCAGGGCTACTGCCAAACCACCACCGAGCCATCACCACGCTATTGCCACTGGGCCATGTCCAGGCTGGGCTGGGCTTCTCTCTCCACTCTCTGGCCTGCAAATAAGGATGTCAGCACGTGTAGGAAGGGACAGCCTGGTGGGACGAGAGTCCCTGGCGAGAGAGAGATGGTGCGTTTTCCGAGTGCTGGGACTCAGTCCCTTCTGTGGTGCAATGTAATGGCAGAAAGAACTGCTCCTGCATGTGGCATCGTCCCCCAGTGCCCTGACAGCACAGGAGTTGCTACACCCGGTGAGGACATAGCGCTGGGAACAGGCTGTAGAACTGGCATCGCTGGTGCTGAGACCAGGTGGGAGAGACGGGGTGTGGGTGGAGGTCAGTGCTGCACAGGTCACGGCACGCAGAGGTACCTGGCTGCGGCCGAGCACCGAGAAGTGAGAAATCCCGGTGACAAAGGTCAGTGCAGCCACTCTTCAGGGGAAGAGCAGACCCGACACCCCACGGCAAGTCAGGGTCTGCTGCTCCAGCATCCACCAGCGCCCTGCAGAATGGGACAATCCCAGCCGAGGCTATGGTATCTTCCACTGCAAACACAACCCCAAAACCAGCCTGCGACCTTGCTCCTAACTGCAGAGCCAGCCCTAAACCTAACCTGAGCATCAGTCCTAAGCTGGTCCTGAGGCTGCTGCAAGCAGAGGGAAAGCTGTGAGCCCACGCAAGCAGAGCAAGACCAGCTAGGTCTCGCTCTCCCACCCTTAGCCTGAGGCTCTGGGGAAATTTTACACCGTGTTTAGGCTCAGAGCAACATCTCCTTTGTGCTCCCCTATTTCCTGGGTTCGGGAAACAAACCTGCTCGTACAGCGTAAATGATGCCAGTGGGGAAAAGGGTGCCATGCCAGGGCTGTGCAGGAGGCTGTCAAGCCCGGGGCTGGCAGCTGGTGAAATGGCACCCAGGGCGCAAGTGGTTTGGGATGCTGGGCTTGGGGAGCGCGGGAGGAGGAGCTCTACTTGTAGCCAGAGCTGTGCCCCCCTCAGCCCCTCACCCCCAGCACAGCCGGCTCGCAGTCTGGGAGCGGGTGGTGCTGCTGGCACTGGATGGCACCGTAAGGGCAGGGAACACCTTGTATTCCAAGCATGTAAAACAAGTAAGAGAACAAAGCTGAAATGCAGACGTGTAAGGCTCGGGGAGGAGCAGGAGGGCGAATGGGGAAGGGGGGGATGCAGCGAGCCAGGGAGCGACACAGCAGGGCTGGTCTCGGGGGGGTGAGCACCGGCTCACTGTGGGGGGCTCAAGCTTTGCACCATGCACCCACAAACGGACTTTTGGCTGAGGCTCTGCACCAGCAGTGGGGATGAGGTCAAGCAGCCAGGGAAGGAAAGAGAGGGCAGGAGAAGGAGCAGGGATTAGGGATGCTCGTGCCCGGTACTCACCTGGTGAAGTCCTCGTCCCCAATCATGTGCCGAGGGATGGGCGAGTACCGGGATGGAGTCACCTGGGGAGGGATGGGGTAGGCAGGCTTGCTCTCAACGCTGCCCAGGTAGCCCAGACTGGAGTTATGGCTTATGTGGTTATCAGCCAAGGCTGAGAAGGCTGCAGAGGAGGAGAAGGGCATCAGGAGCAGAAATCCATCTGCAACGTGGATGTGGAGACCAGCCCAGCGTTGCCCGCCGCCCCAGCACACTCTGGCCGTTGGGGCCCGGGCGTGCCGTGCCAGTGGCCGGCGGCGTACGTACTGCTGGCGTAGTCGGGGGGCGCGTACATGTCGTTGAGGTGGATGTTGCCGGGCTTGGCCACTTTCAGGTACACCATGTCAGAAGTGTTCTTCAGGGCAGCCACTGCCTCCTCGTGCCGCACATCCTGCAGGTTCGTGTTATTCACCTGCCGGAGGGAAGGGGCTGGGTGACGTGGCCGCAGGCAGGGGG